GTTCAGCTGGGGTGATATCGGAAGCTGGTAAGACTACGCACCCTTACCGCTTCGGAGCCTGACTGCCAAAGGCTCTGGTCCAGTACTGGCCCCACTGGTTGACTGACAACAGGACTATTGAGGAGCCAGGAGGCTCATCCCCGAGCTGAGTGGCCATCCTGGGTATAGAAACAGGTATCGGCAGAAGAGCTTGCTGTCTGCCTGGAGAGCCTGGAACGCTTGGCCGTGAGGACTGAGAAGCCTGTATTTAGGCATTTGCGTCTTTGGCTGTTGGTAGTGGGCAGGAATTTTCCTGCGCTGTTGAGCCAGTGCTGCATCCATGATTAGGACCAAGTTTAGTTCTGTTTCCTTGAGCTCATGCTGCCGTTCACTGACTCCTGTTGCCGAAGCTCGCTTTCACAGCTTGGTCGCATCCTGAACCTAGAGGCTCACCAGCGAGACTGGTGAGATCCCAGTCATTGCCATGTTAATAACTCAAGTCCCCTCCTCCTAAGGCACTTGCAGGATCACCAGTCCTCTTCCTGCCCGCATGATGCCCCGGGCGCTGGAGCTGAGCTGCTGCAGCCCCAGCTGCGTGGCGAGGGAGCTGGCTGCAGGAGGGGGAGCCTGGTTGTCAGTGGAGGTGTGGAGGAGGCAGGTGTCCTGCTTCCTGTTCCGCAGCAGCCAGAAGGTTTTTCTGTTCTGCAGGGCTACACACATCAAGGTAGACTTTTTTTTTTTAATTTTAAGAGATAGAATAATCTCTGCTCTGGCCTCGGTGCAGTGAAGCTTGCCTCCAAACTCACCCTCCGGTTGGTTTGCTTGATGTGGCCTTAGAGCTGGGGAGGACCTTTCTCGTAAGCTCCTGTGCAGAGGAGGCCTGTTGTTGTGAATTATTGTATAGGGATTAGAGGAAACAACTTTGGGCTCCCACCACTGGTTATGCAACTGGGCTGGATTTGGCCGCTGTTTGTCACCGTGCAGCCCAGCACCAGCAAGCTGGTGCCTCTGTCCAGAAACCCCTCCTTCGCTCCTTCCCCCTCCTGGGGCAACCGCTTTGCAGCCTGCAGGAGTTTGTCCCGCGGTCGCCTCCCATGTAAATCCTGTCTGGGACCTCTCGAGGGCAATCGCAGCCCCGCAGCAGAAATGGTCCAAGTTTCCAAGGCAACTCTCCTCTAACCCTGTTTTGAACGCTGCCCCGTTCCCATAGAAAGTTGCCCATTAGTCTCGTCGGCAGCTGCTGCGGGGAGCGCGCCACCTCCAGAGAAGTTCTCCTTCGCCGGGCTCTTTATTCCCGTAATGAGCAGCTGGGGGGGTGCGGGTGGCATGTGGTGCTCAGCCCTGCCGGTCCCCGGTCCGGCATGGCACCGCGTCCATCCCGGAGCCGCTTCTGGGCGAGGGAGCGAGGGGGGGCCATGCCTGTCTGCGGGGCTGCTCTTGGGGTGGTTTTTTTTTTTTTGGCAAGTGGGAAGGTGACAAGTGAAGAAAAAGGACTCGGCATTTTATTTAATTAGAAAAACCAAACTCCCTAAAACTAGCCTCCGAAGGGCCTCCGTTGTCATCAGCCGCACAAAGAGCTGTGACAAATGAAAGGAACTGAGCAGAGAAAAGGCTGCTTTCTCTTTGTGTCTCTTTCCCAGCTTCTGTTTGCTTTGCTGTCTCCCTTGCTCCCATTGATCAGGCATGTGGAAACATTCCTCCTCCTGCGCTCCCATTGTGGCCGCCTGGTTGCCAGGCTGCCGTTGGCTTGAATAACTTCACTAAGCCAGGCCTCTCCGCAGCCATGCCATCCGGCGCGCTGGACGTGGGGCCAGACGCTGCCCTCCTGTCCTCCTCCTCTCCCTCCCCCTCCCCGGCAGCGCAGGGGCGCAGTGAAAAAATGTGCTGGAGAACAAGGGGGGTAGCGCGGAGCCCCAGCTGGCCCGACGCGGGGGGGGGGGGGGGGGACATGGGCCAGCCGCCGCTGCCGCCTTCAAAAGAAGGTGGGTGGGTGGTGGTGGCGGCAGCGAAGGCTGCTAGCCCAGAGCTGCTGAGCAGAGAGGGGACAGAAGAGCGTGTTTCCAGGGGATGCAAGCTAGTAGAGCGCAGCAAGGTAAAGCCCAGCCTTGTTTCCCGTAGCAGGGAGAGGCGGCGAGGACAAAACAGGAGGCAGCCAGCTGCGGCGGGGAGCGATGCGTGGCCAGCCCTCGCTGGCCGTGCTGCAGACGTGTCTGTGGGCACTGTGGGCTCTGCTTGCCA